CCTTTTTATCAGACAGGCCCCTACACTCAGCTCTTTTAAAACCCTTTCAAAGACCCACTTTTTCTCTCAGGCCTTTGAGTGAGACTTCGACTTTATCTTAGTTGTCTTAATTTCCCTCTCCTACTTGGTTTTGTTTTTTCTTGTTTTTATTTTTTTTGCTCTTACTGTTTTTTTAATCTTTGAGTTTGTCTTGTGTGGAGGTGATAATTGTGTTTTATGATCTGCTCAAATGGCCTGTACAGCGCTTTGATTTTAGCTTTGGCTGACTGAAAGCGCTTTATAAATAAAGTTGAGTTGAGTTGAGAGAAATCTGGCCGGTTATATTCAATTCAATTAAATTTTTATTTATATAGCGCCACATCACAACAACAGTTGTCTCACAGCGCTTTCCAAACAGAGCAGGTCAGACCCTACTCTGAAGTTAACTCATTGACTGCCAGCCATTTTCAGAATAGAGTCCCATACTTGACTGATTTTTCAAGACAGAATAGTTTGTGCTATGACTATGTAAACACCGAACACACCAAAAGAAAGAGTAGACTCTCTTCTTTCATCAGGAAAAAAAATGTAGTTTCTACCTTATTCCGTTCTTCCTGGACTTGCGTCTCACCGGCGACATGTTCTCTCATAGAACCGTTCCCTTTTTCTTATTTGCCTACAGTCTATGCTCATCTCCCATCAAAAGTGGCACTGCCCCCTAGAGGGTCAATTTGTTACTACATACTCTGTCTAGAAGCCTGATATTTACGGACAAGCTTTAGCAGATCGTCCCCGAAGCCACTCGCGTTGAAAAACATAAAAGACGTCTATAGACGTCTTTGGTAGCCAATGAGTTAATTACAGAAACCCAACAATTCCCACCATGAGCAGCACCAGGCGACACAGGCAAGGAAAAACTTCCTTTTAACAGGCAGAAACCTCGAGCAGAACCATGGCTCAGGGTGGGGGGGCATCTGCCTCCGCCGGTTGGGGGTAAGGCAAAGAAAGGGCAAGAGAGAAGGACAGAGGGAGCAGAGAGAGGCAGACATCCAGTGGGGGAAATAAGTATTAGTCCCCTTGCTGATTTTGCAGGTTTGCCCACTTACAAAGAATGCAACGATCTATAACTTTAATCATATGTACATTCTAACAGTGAGAGACAGAATCCCAAAGAAAATTCCAGAAAATCACATATGAATTTATGAAAATTGAAAACCATCTGATGAGGAAAAATAAGCATTCTTTGTAAGTGGGCAAACCTGCAAAATCAGCAAGGGCTCAAATACTTATTTCCCCCACTGTAAGTCTGTCTTCTCTGTGTTGGCCAGCATCCGTCACATTAGCCGAGGCAAAGCAAAGCAGGGTCGAGGATTTCGGGCATAAATTCAATTCTGTCGG